CAGAAGAGTGTTTCAACGACGAAGGTAGAAAAAAGATGAGGTGAGTACTGTAAAAGTAGTCGAATATGAGATATAGTGGGGTCATGGCAGTTTGAAGTCAGAAGTCAACTGCCAGTTTAAAGACTTTTTTGCCGCATGAGTATACGTTGCCCAGAGTGCACCACTTGGAGGTAAGTCTATCGCACACCCCTGGATCAAATATTGATACTGATGAGGTCTATCCCACATTCAGATTGTGTCTTACTATGGCTTTGTAGCATGAAATTGTACTTTACCAAACAGATGACAGAGGTTGGATGGCACAAGAAGAAAAGAAGCAGATTCCTGTATAGAGGAGGGATTGGGAAAAAGCACGCCAGAATTTGTATTTTGGAGTGTGTGTGTGTGTGTGTGTGTGAGTGTGAGAAAAAAATAGGATCTCTGCAGACATGTTGCCTTTTTTTGTGTGCGGCCAGGGCGCTTTCTCCCCTCCCCCACCCCACCCCACCCAATGGGTGTTTTTTGCCTATATCACATTCTAATTTCACTCGACGGGGTATGCTATGTGTGAAGTGCAGTTCTGCGAATGCATCGCTGTGGATTTCAGAAGATTTCTTTCAACCTGACCCAATCAGAATGCTTCACACACACACACACAAGATAATAAATGGGCACATGCATGCTGTTATTCCTCATAGCGTTGCTAACAAAAAAAACCAAAAAACAATTGCCCTAATTTATAATCTTGGGTGTTAGTATTTGAAGATTAGAACTTGTGAAATTGTACACGAGTGGAGGGGGGCAGGAATGGATTTGGTCAAAGGATGAAAGTTATATAACCATTATGCCTTCGCAACGGTATCACATAGAAATGGTTGTTCCATTCATTTTTGGGGGGTTGGGGGGTGGGGTGGGGTGGGGGCGAGTAGTAATATCAATTTAATTATTCTTTTAATTCTTCCGACCGTGTGCAGAGCTCACGAGAATTCGCTCCATATGAGCTACACTAATCTCATCCTTACTTACTTGTATCTACACACGTAACATTCACTGTACATATATATATACATCTATGACGATATTTAGAATTGATCTCCTCTTGCTACAAATTTGCATCATCGCTTTTTGCCCGTGGTAATTAATTCAAGAAGCACTTTCACACACGCACATTTCAATTCTGGATGGAGATTTTAAGGACTTAACAAAATCCCTCTTTCAGCATAAGGTAGACTGTTCTATCTCTCTTATTTTTACACTTTGAATTACCTTTCGGATTAATTTATTGGCAAATTATTAAAATTAATATGATGGGGGTGTCAATTCTTCTTTTGTGTTTCACTCTGGAATAATTGGATTCACTGAATTAGTCTATTAGGTATTTAAATTTTAAGCGTATTCCATTGGTTGAAGAAATATTATGCCATGGTTAATTATGTGCAAAAAAGGGATGTCCAAATGAACAAATTACCCAACCATTTACTTTTATGGGAACTGATGTATTTTTACCCTGATGATTCACCATAAAAATATGTTCTTTTTCCGATACGGCAATTGGTCTAAAAAATAAGTATTTATTACTTCAAAATCTTGTGTGTTAACTTTATGTCCATTTAGGCATTATTTGGTTTTCTCAAATGGTTAAATATTTATTTATTTCAAACGGCAGGCGTTTTGATTGTTATCATTAGCCCTTTAGCAGACTTCGGACTTCACAGAGGGGAGGAACATCAAAGTGACAAAAAATTCGAGTGAGGGGAAAGAAGAGTGATTCACAGATGTAAGGAGACAGACAGACACAAAAGTAGAGAAATGGTAAGATGAGTACTATGGAAAGGGTCGAATAGGACATATAGTGGGGTGATGGTAGTTTGAAGTCAGAAGTGAACTGCCAGTTTATATAGACCTTTTTGCCGTATGAGTATACGTTGCCCAGAGTACACCACGAGGAGGTAAGTCTATCGCTCGCCCCATGGTTAAATATAAGACACCCCTGTTGGCTGTTTACTTCAGCAAATCCTTACCAACTTCCTATTGGCCAATAAAAATCGATTTATCTTTAAGTCAATTTGACCACCAAAAGCGATCACCTAATGTTCGCGTTACAAGATGTGCAGCCTTGAATATTACATTAGGATGCGAAGCGAAATATGTACTTCTCTTGAAAAATAGGGATATTTCTGGAGCCTGATTTTTGAATTTACACCTCTTTGTCCTTGGCACCATCAGAAAATGTAAATAGCTCACTTCTTTCGGAGAACCGGAGGTTTCAAGACAAGCGAAAAAAGTTACTTCTGATTTTCAAGAGTAGAGATTTGAATTTTTGTGCAGCTTCGTAGCCACATGCTTCACCATCCAGCTCAAAGTTTTCTGATTCCAGAGGCAAGCTAATAATTTCGTTTGTGTGAGTTAAACGAGCGACAATTCGGTGTAATTTTAACTTGATGAAGTATTAATAAAATTTGTCTGCTTATTTCAAACAAGTGGAGTTTAAATGAGCCTCTCATTAGCCTGTATGCCAGTCGAGGGCTGGCTACAGCTAGATATATCACTAACTCCTAAGTAAAGTTAAAGAAAAAATTCCAACATTCGTATTTGCCAGGGGGTTAGTAACATGGAAAATCCCTTCTGCACCTCTCTATCAGACAAACAATCAATGAGATGGGAAATGCCACTTATTGTTTGCTTACCAAGCAGTGGATACGTCTTATCTCTAATTGTTGCGTACCAGTAGTGTAGCAAACAGCAAGGGCGTCTGCATACAGTGGCCGTTGAATATCCTTAGTTAAAACTCATCAAAATCGCCATGGACTTTAGTAAAACAAAAATGACCTTCATTGGTCATTGAAATTTATGTCAAATATCTGCCACCGGGTTGTTTTTTCTATTCTTCGAATGAGGACATTTTCATTTCACCTCCCAATTGTGCTGCTAAATCAACTTGAGGCATTTACCCTTCAATTTGATTCAAAATCACTTCATTTGGGAGATCTATTTTGATACTGATCATAAATCGAAAACAACAACTAAATAAAACAGCTTTTCGAGTGGACGGAAATTTTAGACAGGATTAAACTACTAGAGTGAAGTAACATCTCTTTCATGAATAAAAATAGAATAGTTGAAGCCCATGAATCCACTTCGTATTTTTTTTTATATTTGAACCAGGCTCCTGTCAGTTGGAGGTTTTTTGGTCAATATTCAACCGTAAAAATATCCCCTAAGGTGACAGAAATCGGGGGATAATCCAGAATTGGCAGCAAACTTGCAAAAGGCTGAAAATGTTAATATCTCATGGGGTAAATCCTGCTGGTGTTTTACACAACTGGCTGACTAATCCAGGTATCCATTTGTGCTCCCTTCAATTTAGTCCGTTCTAATAGCTTTTGCAAAGAACAATGATTTACTTGCTTTGGTAATTGTATCTTGCCGTTGGCAAGCGTATCTTTTCTGGTTGGCAAAAATTTTGCTAAACTTGATATTCATCTGCTTTATATTACCTTTTGAACTCAGGTGGGTCGCTTGTGAGATGATTTGATCCATCAGCACCGAATAGTATTTTGAGGCCCTTCTGATGAGAGGCCTGCATTCAGTGATCCATTTCTTGACCGAGTAGAAAGACGCAGTTGTCCAGTCGTTTACTTGTTGTTTAGTCTTTCAATAAAATATGAATGACCGCATAGTTTGAGGCGATCTTTAACTTCGTTGATAGAATGGCGTTAAACAAACTTTTCGAAAATTATCGAATGCTTCTTGGACCCAATCTTACTGTCTCATTACAATTCCAATGATGTATTTTTCAGGGTGTGTTCACACGCTCCTCTTCAACAGCTTCTATTCAATGATTTCTGTTCTTGAGTAATTCAACATTTTGATATGATGCTTCTTCACTACTGCTAAAAAAATGCGACTGGGTTTTTTGGCATCTCGTAGAGCTCAAAGACGATGTTGGAGTCGTGAACTTCAAAGATGATCCTTGGTTAAGCAAAACACGAACGCTTATAAGGTCTTGTGTAGTCCTTGAGAAGACGTTATTGAAGCCCAGTTATAACACCGTTGAACCCACGTCTGCTAATTATTCGCTAAGTTTGTACAAACAACTTCTAAGCTCATTTATTCGAGGCCCTCCTGAAGTGATGTTCCCCATCACTTGTGCCGCCTCTCTGATAGGAAATTCGAATTTTGTCGCGTTTCAAAACGTCCATATTTTCTCCTTTCCTTGATTTTTCATTGCTAGTCTTTTTTATGTGGAACATAGAAACATAAACGGAATGTGTCAGGTTGAATTCAATGTGAGAGTGGCTGTAAAATCCAAAAGGGAGAAATGGATATGCCTAGAAAAATTAAGAATTGTTGGTCTTTTTGTTGGTCAATTGAGCGTTTTGAGATAGATGTTAGTTAATCTTTCTTTTCCAACCAGCTGCCTCAGCGACGCATTCCCGACAATTGCGACAATTTCGCTCAAGTCGATCAAAACAAATCATCTTTGAGTCGTCGACCCCATCTATACGAACATGATCAGCGTGAATACCTTAATCCACTTTACAGCCAAATGCACGACCCTCCATCTTCTCATCACTTTCCACACCAACGAAGTAGACCTCGTCCACCGGCCTATGAAATGGGAGACGAGGAGATTACTTGTCGAATGTGGAAGGAGCTTAAGGTTGCGCCCCAATGGACCTTGACTGCACCTACCACCCCATCCTCATTATCAATTCAGACAATGTCGACTTCACCGCTTCCGATACAATCCATGTTATCTAGACGGGAAAGGACACCTGAATCCGAGAGGAGGAATGGCTTTTATATTAGCACTTCAAGAGAAGGTTGCCCTGATCGAAGTTCTAAGATTAGGCAAAGTTGCCCACCAACTTCAAATCCTGTAAGTGAATTAAAAATAGCTTGTCACTTTGGCTTGATCTCATTTTGAGGAAAGTGAGCTATTCTTAGACCCCTTTGAATTTGCATTTGGTAGTTGGTAGTTCTTCACTTTTACCCCTAATTTTTAATCATGAAGCTATGCAGTGTGTTGAGTACGCAACCCTAACTCAGTTAAAGTAGGCAATATCCTGCCCACTCCAACATTTGGCACGTGCGTCCGCGCTGTTGATCGAGTTAATGGGAGTAAATGAGGTCACGAAAGTCGAACGTACTTATTGATTGAGCTCTGTGCCAATGTCCTCATGCATGCGCATCCACCTCACATGCAGTATAAGAACCACTACGATCTCAGCAAACACACATTCCACGTTATACGCTCTGCCTCCTCTGTATTTTTGAAGCAGCTTCTGAGGAGGAGCAATGTCATATTAGAGGATCTTGCCACAGTTATCGCTGAATCTTAGTCGAGGCTTATTCGTGCGAACAGTCCGTTATATATGCCCTCTGCTTTTAAGAAAGATAATAAATAGATGGTTAAAATTGTCAATAATCCACATTATCGAAGACTGACGTGATTCCAAACCTTTAGGTAAAACAGGCATAGCGATAACACTTCTCTTTTCAATGACTGTCATCGCACTTTTGAATGACTTTTAAGGATTTGTTGAATTATTTGTGAAAGCGGCATAGTTATTTCTTCAAGAAACGAGTCAATTGCTTTACCTGTATGAGGAGTAAATTTTTAAAACTTAAACTAATTGCCAATCGTTATTACCTGTTCTTAACCACCCTATAGGCACTTTCTTTGAAATATGAAATTAAATTTTAAGAGTATGTTGGTTATAGAAGTGCGTTTTACTTAAGCTAGTAGATTCGACACTACACTCGCCATTTTTATTACGGAGGACTTAGACGATAGCTCAACTTTAAAATAATTGGGTTTTTTCCGTACTTCATCATTGTAGAGAACGTAATTATCAATTTGAATTAGCTCAACGCCACTCAATATACAGCTGATATCAAAAGTAAATAAGAACATAATCGTGGTGGAATTAGGTAGTTTCAATGCCTTGCGATTTAGCCCTTAAACGAATAAGATTGCTACTACTTATTCAAATGAGTAGGCTTTCTTATTCAGTTTTGCGGGTAATGGTTAACATTATTGTGCTATCGTGGCATACTACAATACCATAGTATTATAATATTTAAATATATATATTTATATCAAATGGCAGGTGTTTTGATAGTTACGATTATCTCTTTAGTTGACTTCAAAGTGAAAAAAAATCGAGAGGGGGGGGGGCACAGAAGAGTGACTCGAAGATGTAAAAGAGACAGACAAACATAAAGGTAGAAAAAAGTTGAGGTGAGTACTGTGGAAGTGGTAGAATATGACATACTGTGGGTATGATGATAGTTCGAAGTGAGAAGTCAACTGCCAGTTAATAGACTTTTTTGCCGTATAAGTATACGTTTCCCAGGGTGCACCACGTGGAGGTATGTCATTTGAGTATACGTTGTCCAGGGTGCACCACCTGGAGGTAAGTCTATCGTGAGTATACGTTGCCCAGGGTGCACCACGTGGAGGTGTATGAGTATACATTGCCCAGGGTGCACCACGTGGAGGTAGCCGAATGAGAATACGTTGCCCAGGGTGCACCACGTGGAGGTAAGGTGTAAGTATACGTTTCCCAGGGTGCACCACGTGGAGGAAAGTCTATCGCACACCCCATGTTTAAATATAAAAGTACTTTTTCGTTATCCGTTTCAGGGACGGTCGTACCTGAGTCATGCCGTTGGCAGGGAAAGAGATATGGAGACAACAAGTGCGTATTACAGCAAACCACTTACTTCGCAAATGGAGTATCTCCATCGTAATATGTTATAGCCTTATCAACAGACAGAGCTCAATATCCATTCAGAGGTGACTTGCAGTATTAGAATGCAAATGAACAACCATGCAGATGCTAATGTATTTAACGGACAATCTTTTTTTCTATGCATGAATCTCGTATTTAGTGGCCTTCCTTCATTATCATATTTATTTATTAAGAAGACTATCAAATATATGTTCCGAATTGTGTATTACTTATTAGGAGTTTTCGAAAAACCGAAAAGAAGGCTTCACGAGAGGCAGCGATTTAATTTACTAAACTATTATAAATTATTTGGGATAGTATTTGCTTCCTCGTTCTATTTATCAATCCCATTTTAATTTGTATCGTTTATCTTTGAGTCCAATAGTATCTCTGTGTTTTTCCAAAATTATCTAACTTATGTGTTGATTCAGAGCGAAAATTTGTAGCGGATTGCTACGTTTGTAAAGCCTGACCGACTCCGAAATTTTTATGGCAGATTCCTCAACTTCTAACTAGA